ATGAGCAAGGGATATTCTTCCACTTCTCAAGGTCTCTTTTTGTTTCTCGTAGTAATGTTTTGTAATTTTCTTTGAATAGATACTATGTGCTTTTGGTTAAATTTATGGTTGTGGTTAGCTATTGTGAAGGGTATTGTTTTTCCTAGTCCTGACTCTGTATTTTCCTTGTCATTGTAGAGAAATCCAACTGATTTTTGTATGTTGATCTTGTGTCTTGCCACTTTGCTAAAGTGGTCCACTGTGTCCAATAGTTTTCTTGCTAAGTCTTTAAGGTTTTCTAAGTATACTATCATATTATCTGCATAGAGAGATAATTTAACTCCTCCTTGCCAATGTGGATTTTATTCCCTTCTCTTGTCTTGTTGCTATTGCTAAGATTTCCAAAACAATATTGAGTAAGAGAGGTGATAGTGGGCATCCTTACCTAGTTCCTGTTCTTAAAGGGAATGCCTTTAACCTCTCTCCATTGAGAACAATGGCTCTTGGGTTTGCATAAATACTTTTTACAATGTTGAATAAATTCCCCTCTAATCATGTTTTTTGTTGAGTGTTTTAATCAGGAAAGGGTGTAGGATTTTGTCAAAGGCCTTTTCTGCATCAATTGATAGGATTATGTGGTTCTTATTCTTTGCTTTGTAATGTGATGAATTACATTAATTGTTTTCCTTATGTTGAACCATCCTTGCATACCTGTTACATATCCTACTTGGTCATGGTGAAATTATAGAAGAATCTCATTGATTTCACATGCAAGCAAGATTCTACTGAAGATTATCCAAAAATGACTGGGACAACATATCAGAGGAGAACTGCCAGAAGTCCAGGCTGGGTTTAGAAGGGGTCTCGTGGTACTAGGGATATTGTAGCTAATGTTAGATGGATCTTAGCTTAACTCTGGGAGTACCAGAGGAATGTCTGCCTGTGTTTCATTGACTATGCAAAAGCGTTTGACTGTGTGGATCATAACAAACTGTGGCTGACTCTGAGAAGAATGGGAATACCAGAACACTTGACCATGTTAATGAGAAACCTCTACTGGGATGAAGAGGCAGTCGTCAGAATAGAGCAAGGAAATACTGCATGGTTCAAAATTGGAAAGGGCATACACCAGGGATGTGTCCTATCCCCATACCTTTTTAACCTGTATGCAGAACATATAATCTGGGAGTCTGGCCTCTATGAGGAGAAATGTGGGGTCAAGATTGGTGGACGATTTATCAACAATCTGCGATATGCAGATGATACAACCCTGCTTGCTGAAACTGAAGAGGACCTGAAGCACCTGCTGTAGAGGGTCAAGGACTGTACCCTCCAATACGGATTGAGGCTCAATGTCAAGAAGACAAAGATTCTCACCACTGGACCAATTGGCAGCATCAGGATGGATGGTGAAGAGATTGAGCCTATTCACAGATTCAGTTTGCTTGGCTCCACAGTCAACATTCTCGGCACCAGTAGTCAGGAAATTAGATGTATTGCCATGGGAAAGTCTGCTGCTAGGGACCTCTCCAAAGTACTGAAGAGCAATGGTGTCTCTTTGGAGACTAAGGTATGTCTCATACAAGCCATGGTCTTTTCTATCACTTGTTATGCATCAGAGAGTTGGACAATGACCAAGGAGGATAGAAGGAGAATTGATGCCTTTGAGCTGTAGTGCTGGAGAAGAGTATTGAGAATACCATGGACTGCTAGGAAAATAAACAGATTCTTCCTGGAAAGGGTTAAACCAGGCTGCTTCTTGAAGGAAAGGATTCTAAGGCTCCGTCTAACATACTTTGGACATGTTGCAAGGAGGGGCAGGTCCTTGGAGAGGGACATCATGCTTGGTAGGATAGAGGGACAGCACAGGAGGGGAAGGCCCCCTATGAGGCGGTTTGATTCAGTGACTGGGGTAATCGGGATGGGTGTATCAGAGACGGTGCGATTGGCATAGGACAGAGCAGAGTTTAGGGATGTTGTACATGGGGTCACTCTGAGTGGCAAGCAACTTGATGGCACATAACAACAACAACAACAATCGTTGGATTCTATTGGCCAGTATTTTATTTAGGACTTTTGCATCTATGTTCATAAGAGATAGTGTCCTATAGTTTTCAATTTTGGTGGTGTCCTTTCCTGGCTTTGGTATCAAAGATATGTTTGCTTCATAGAATGAGTTTGGGAGAATTCCATCTTCTTCTATTTTCTGAAATAATTTATGTAGAATTGGTAACAGTTCTTCTCTGAATGTTTGATAAAATTAACTTCTAAAATGATCTGGTCCAGGGCTTTTTTTTTAGTTGGAAGTTTTTGGATTACCTTTTCAATTTCTTCTTTTGTAGTGGGCCTGTTCAGATGTTCAATTTCAGTTTGTGTCAGTTTAGGTAGGCTGTGCATTTCTAAATATTTTCTATTTCCTCTAGGTTTTCATATTTGCTTGAATATAGTTTTCATAATTCTATAATGTTAGCTTTCTTATTTTAGTTAGCTCTGTTGTGATGTTGCCTGATTCGTCTCTTATTCAGATTATTTGTGTCTTCTCCTTTTCTTTTGTGAGTTTTGCTAGTGCTTTATCGCTTTTAATGACCTTTTCAAAGAACCAACTCCTAGTTTTGTTGATAGTTTCAATTGTTTTTCTGTTCTATATTTCATTTATTTCTGCTCTAGTTTTCATAATTTCAGTCTTTTTAGAGGGTGTTGGGTTTTCTTGCTGTTCTTTTTCAATTTTCTGGAGATATTGGGTTAGAGAGTCAATGGTCTGTTTTCCCACCTTTTGATGTGTCCTATGTTTCTTTTGATGTTAATTTTTTTTAATTTCAGTAAATGTTCATTCACAGATATTTGGTTTTATATACTAGTTATGCCGATGCAATAACCTTGCTTACTGAAAGTGAAGAGGGCATGAAGTATTTACTGAAGAGATCAAGGCCTTACAGCCTTCAATAAGGATTGCATTTCAACATCAAGCAAACAAAGAAAAAAAAAAACACTGACTGCCAAAAGATATATCTTGGAAGAAGTGCAACCAGAGTGCACCATGGAGGCAAGGACAGTGAAGCTTCATCTGACATACTTCAAGCATGTTGCTAGAAGAGGCTATTCCTTGCTAGAAAAGGTGGAGGGTCAGAAAAGGAGAAGGAGACATTCAATGAAATGGGCTGGCATAGCAGCAATGGACTCACTTTTGTCAGAGATTATGAGGATGGTACTGAATAAGATAGGGTTTAGATTTATTGTTTATAGGGTTGTTATGATTATACGCAACAAAGAGGCATACTCTCTTTGCAATTTATTGAGGAGCAGTGATGATAGTCTGAGGATTTAAAGGTGTCTCATTCAGTTCATGGTCTTTTCAATTACTTGTTATGCATCTGAGAGCTGGTCAATGAATAATGATGATAGAAGAATTGATACCTTTGAGCTGTGTTTTTGGAGAATGCTGAATATCCCATGGATTGACAAAAGAACAAACAGATATGTCTTGGACAAAGTATAATCAGCGTGTTCCTTGGAGGCAAAGATGGCAAAGTCTTATATACTTTGGTATGTTACTAGAAGAGGCTTTTTCTTGGAGAGGGATATCATGCTTGGGAAGATAGAAGGTCAGTAAAAGAGAAAAGACCCTCAACCACTTGAATTAACAGTGATTATAACAATGGGCTCTAGTGTGTCAGAGATTATAAGGATGGCATAGGTTAGGATAGTGTTCATTATCTGTTGTTTATAAAGTCATTATGGGAAATACTCAACTTGACAGCAGCAAACAAAAACTTCTCCATTAACACAGATCAAAAGCATCAATTATTTTTCTATTATCTTTAGTCATTTCCTAGCTTTCAAAAGCACAGCAAGCAATTGAGAGGAACATGGTTTAGATCAGGCACATCTTAGTCTTTAGACTGATACCACTTTTTATCACTGTGAAAGGGTCTTAGACAGTATATTATCCCAATGAAACTCATCTTTTGATTTTCTGTCTGTTAGTACCAAGAGTGTTGATTGTGAAGGGAGCTCTGGTGTCCTAGTGGCAAGAAGCTGCGCTGCAATCCTGAAGGCACATGGTTCAAATCTACAGATGTTCTTTTGGAGAAGGAGGGGCAATCTCCTCCTGTGCCAGTTGGATCCAATTTGATGGCACAACAACAATCATTTTAAAAAAAAAGTATTGATTGTGGATCCCAGCAAGATTAAACTGCAATCTTTTGATAAGATAGCAACTGCAATCTTTTCTCCAGGAATTATGATGTTGTCTATTGGCCTGATGGTAAGGATTTTTGTTTTCTTGATATTGAGATGTAATCCTTATTGAAGGCTGCAGTCCTTGAACCTCTGAATCAAATGCTTCAGGTCCACCTCACTTTCAGCATCAAGGCAGTCATCTCCATAACTCAGATTGTTGATGAGCTTTCCTCCAATTCTGATTCCACATTCTTCTTCATAAAATCTAGCTTCTCAAATGACCTATTCTGTATTTGGACTGAAAATGTATGTAGAGAGAATACATTCCTGGCATACTCCTTTCGTGATTTTAAACCATACAATGTTCCCTTGCTCTGTTTAGACAACAGTTTTTTGGTCTAGGTCTAGGTTTCAAATGAGCAAAAATCAAGGTTTTTTAGATTTCCATTCTTCTCAATGTGAGCAATGATTTCTTGTGATCAACACAACTGCCTTTGTATAGCTGATAAAACACAAATAAACATCCTTCTGGTACTCTCTGCTTTCAGCCAAGATCCATCTGACATCGATATTCCTATTGAATTATAATGATATAATTCAGCTTGCATTTCTAGCAGTTCTCCGTCACAGTACCGTTCTAACCTTTTATTTTATAATCTTCAGCAATATTTTGATGACTATGATTTAGACAATGACTAAGTATGAAAAAGAAGAATCAATGGTGCTGGAAAAGAGTATTGAACATGCTTTGCTTGGACTGCCAAGGAAGCAAATAAATCTGTCCTGGAGAAAATGAAACCAGAGTGTTTCTTGTAAGCAAGAATGGTAAAACTCCATCTTACATATTGTGGGCATGGTGTCCAGACGGACCAGTCCCTGGGGAAGGTCATCATGCTTGAAAGCATAGAAGACCAGCACAAGAGTGGAAGACCCTCAGTGGGGTGAATTGACACAATGACTGTGGCAATGAAATAAGGTATGTTGGAGATGGTGAGGTTGGCTCAGGATAGGCCAAGGTTCAGAGCTGTTGTTCACTATGAATCATAGTCAATGACATACAACAACAAAAACAATTAATAAAATCAATAAATTACAATGTCTAACCAACCCCTTATCTTCTACTGCCTTTCCCTTCATCCAACATATCAATATGTTAATTTTTACTCCTCTCTTCCTTCTTTGCTATTCCTGCTAAGCAGTTTAGACTGTAAATCTTTTTTATATGTTAAATAATCAAAACACCTTTATTTCCAAAATTGGTACGGAATAATATAACTTACAATATGATACAAAACTAATCATACACTTTATACATACACTGTACGTTTATAATCTAGAAAACAAATTCACATCTCAAGCCAAAAACCTTCGATGGTGATATGGCTTAACTATTGGTAAAAAGAACAGCAATAGAGTCTGCTATTGAGTTCCAGAGCCAGTTATCCAGCTGTAAAAGGGAGGAGAGATTTGGTAGAACTATCAAATTTTAATTTACTTAATGTGCCTTACAAATTGCTGTGGGATTAGGAGAGTTTAAGCAGGATAGAAAGATTTGCTGTGGGGTTCCTTTTGTGTTGTTCTTAGAAATTAAGTGACGTGCTTTCCCATAAATGCATCTGCTAGATCTCAGTGTCTACAAAATCATAATGTTTCTCCTCACTTATTTCACACATATATTATGAATTCTCTGCAGAACAAGTATCAATTCACTGGTGTCATCTAGGTAGAAATGTTATTGAACTGAAACACAATGAGGCTGTGGTACAGAAAAATAAAAGACAGGATTCTGATGCTAAGGACTTGAGATGTGGGGAATGTTCATAAATATTCCCATTTCATGAACTCGATCTCAATGACTAGAACATACAGAGAGAGGAGAATATCTTCATAAACCTTGCAACATATAATGAACCCACCTGCTTCTATATCTTCTAAGCAGATGAATACTCATCATCAGATATACATAATGAATGAAATATCCAGATATCTATCTTGATATTTTTTAATATCTCCCAGAAAACAGTGTGATTATGGAGATATTTTTCCCAGAAACTGATCTCATCTGAATCACAAGCTCAAATGTGTAAAGGCAGCCACAAGTTCATACAGGGAACATCCACTGGAAAGCAAACAGAAAGACTTGGGAAGTGGGAGACCTCTCTGCTTTCACCTTCCCCCCCCCATCTTTTCATTATTTCAAAAATAAGGCTGTAAACCTCAAGAGCAAGAGATAGTCTCTCTTTCTACCATAGAGGCATTACAACAGACACACTCTGCCTTTTTGTCAGCAGTATAACACACTACAGACTAAACCACCAGCATTCATATAACTTCCTCACCTCAGTTATAAATTAATATATGTTGAGTGCTGAAAGCTCTGTTGGGCCAACCCCTCCTCCAAATGTCTCTCACCTACAAATGTCTTTATAACCACAATTATTTATTTTAGACTACCTCTTTATGACCTTTAGAGTGCAAAATCTTTCCTCTAAAAGAAAGTAATGTTGTTTTTGTTTTTATGTGTCGTCGAGTCGCTTGCGACTCATAGAGACCCTATGTACAACAGCCCTAAACTCTGCTCTGTCCTGTGGCAATCGCACTGTCTGTGACATTCCCATCCCAATTATCCCAGTCACTGAATCAATCCACCTCATAGAGGGCCTTCCCCTCCTGCGCTGTTCCTCTACCCTCCCAAGCATGATGTCCTTCTCCAAGGACAGGTCTCTTCTCACAACATATCCAAAGCATGTCAGACAAAGCCTCAGAATCCTTGCCTCCAAGGAACCACCCGGTTTAACTCTCTCCAGGACAAATCTGTTTGTTTTCCTAGCAGTCCATGGTATTCTCAATACTCTTATCCAGCACCACAGATCAAAGGCATCAATTCTCCTTCTACCCTCCTTGGTCATTGTTCAACTCTCTGATGCACAACAAGTGACTGCGAAGACCATGGCCTGTATCAGATGCACCTTAGTCTCCAGAGAGACACCATTGCTCTTCAGTACTTTGGAGAGGTCCCTAGCAGCAGACTTTCCCATGGCAATGCGCCTTTTAATTTTCTGGCTACTGGTGCCAAGAGTGTTGACTGTGAAGCCAAGCAAACTAAAGCTGTGTACAATCTCAATCTCTTCATCATCCATCCTGATGCTACCAATTGGCCCAGTGGTGAGAATCTTTGTCTTCTTGACATTGAGCCTCAATCCATATTGGAGGCTGCAATCCTTGACCCTCTACAGCAGGTGCTTCAGGTCCTCTTCAGTTTCAGCAGGCAGGGTTATGTCATCTGCATAACACAGATTGTTGATAAATCGTCCACCAAACTTGACCCCACATTTCTCCTCACAGAGCCCAGCCTCCCAGATAATCTGTTCTGCATATAGGTTGAAAAGGTATGGAGATGGGATGCATCCCTGACTACGCCCTTCCCAATTTTGAACCATGCAGCGTTCCCTTGCTCTGTTCGGACGACTGCCTCCTGGTCCAAGTATAGGTTTCACATTAGCATGATCAAGTGTTCTGGTATTCCCATTCTTCTCAGAGTCAGCCACAGTTTGTTATGATCCACACAGTCAAATGCCTTTGCATAGTCAATGAAACACAGATAGACATTCTTCTGGTATTCTCTGCTTTCAGCTAAGATCCATCTACAACAGCTACAGTATCCCTAGTACCATGACCCATTTAAACCCAGCCTAGACTTCTGGTAGTTCTCTGTTAATGTGCTGTTCCAGTCGTTTTTGGATAATCTTCAGTAAAATCTTGCTTGCATGTGAAATCAGTGAGATTGTTCTATAGTTTCCACACTCTGTTGGGTCACCTTTCTTTTGGATAGGAACAAATATCGATCTCTTCCAGTCAGTTGGCCAAGTGGTTGTTCTCCAGATTTCTTGGCACAACTTGGTGAGCACGTCCAGGGCAGCATCTGTTAGCTGAAATATGTCAATTGGTATACCATCTATTCCTGGAGCCTTATTTTTTTGCCATTTCCTTCAAAGGAGCCTGACTGGCAGAAAGCTGGCCAGCTAAAGAGCCCATCTTCTCAGCTAACACTAAAGACGCCCAAACTGCGTGGCATTCTTCCGCAGGCAGCGCGCTGCATAGAGTTGGTATAAGGAGAGTTGGTATAAGGAGAGAAAGTAATATGCCACAGGAAAATGAGTGTGTGTATATTTTGGCACAGGTGGTCAGTAAGAGGTAAAACACTGGGGCATAGCAGATAGCAAACGTTGTTGGGTCACTATTACATCCTGGACAGCAAGAATGACCTAGTTCTCTCTCTGACCTGGTTCTGTAGTTTTATTTCTACCTAGTTTTCCCTCCGGCCTGGTTGTGTAGTTTTCTTTATTTAATGCCTTTCTTAACTTTTTATATAGAAATTCAAGAACCTTTGTGTTCCTCATAGCTAAAACATCCACAGTTTAAATATCAATTATTTCACAAGCCAAATATACAGATTCCATTCCCACAAAGGAATAAAGCTAACTTTACTATGTTCTCATTCTTTTAAATGCCCAATGACTAGAAAATACACATTAATTGTTCAGGAAAGCAGGACTTGACATTGTGTAAGTAGTGCATACTTTTCATCACTATTGATGAAGCAATTCTATTGATGAAGCAATTCATCAATGAAAATGACAAATGATTAAAAAAGTACTCACTAAAATACATTACACAAATTAACTACCAGAAATGTTAAACTTTAATAATTATCAAATGCTACTCTGATTTTTTATGATTAATTTCATGTTAATCTTCCACTTATAATAACAGGGAAATATCAATACTGATGATCGGTACTGTTGGTATACGCCCAGGTTCTGGACTATCTAGTTCAAGACTTCATTGGAAATGTTCACTCAAAAAGTTGGAAGGTACAAAACTAATTGTCTTCTTTGGTGTCTACCTTAAAAGTGCAGGAATTTAATAGACATGACTGTCAGTATAAGTAATCACCATAATGCTATATTCCATCCTCAACATTCTCCTTTATGCATATCTTCCAAAGAGTTTATTTTTTAGGAACTTTAGTATATTCCTAGGGAGTTCTGTACATGGAAGCATTTGTTGTCTCCTTTAAGAGCTCAGATTATTATTTAATTATGCCTACTCTCAGATTTTCTCATGACATTTAATTCATAATTTTTGCTTTGTAAAGCAACAACTAAGTGAATATTTGAGGTTTAAAAGTAAAAGCAATATGCTCAGGGAGCAATGTACAAAAAGCCAATAAATCAACCATGATAAGATTTAAGCATATGATTATAGTTTTGACAAGAGCAATTTTTCTTCCCATTTCTGGTACTTTACATTAGTGAACTTCAATGGTTTAATGGGGTTTTTTTATAATCATTTGATCAGAACTTCTAATAACAGCCCTATTTTTCAATATAATATTCAATTATTTTTTTGTCTTTCATTTCTACTTATTGTGCAGCCTGTTGTCGTTAAGGTGTCATTGAGTCAACTACAACTCAAAGCAACCCTTTGAACAGCAGACCAACACCTTGCCCTCTCCTCCTTGATCATCAGGATCTCTGTCATACATTGTTAGAGTCACCATGTCAGTCCATTTCCTTCAAAGTCTTCCTCTCTTTCGCTGACTCTCTACTTTCCCCAGTATGATGTTGTTTTCCAAAGACGACTACTCTTGACAATATGCCAAAAGTATGTGAAGAAAAGTTTCACCATCCTTGCCTCTAAGGAGCACCCAATTTACACTTCTTACAAGATAAGTCTGTTATTTTGGCAGTCCATTGCACAGTCAATACTCTTCACCAGTACCATAATTCAAAGGTATTGATTCTTCTTCTGTCATATTGATTCATTGTTCAACTTTCAGATACATATGAATT